CACTCGTTTGCCGTTTTTTTTTGTTGCCAGTGATATATTAATCTGCTTTTAGTTCCGCAGTAGGTTTATTTTTATTTTTTATTTAAACGAAAGATAAAAAGTTGTAATGTAAAATTGTGACCAAGAGAAGAAACAGTGTGCTTGTGTATTATGTTATCTTTGGTCTTCATGTACCATTTACTTGCATCATATCGGAAAGATGGGGAAAAGTTTGTACCTTTTGTGTAACCGGCATCGTTTGCAACCGATTATGGGCAAACGTTCTTTTTCTCCATCAAGGATCAAGGGGAGGGGTAGAAAAAGATTCCTTTATCATCAGCACTGTGGTAGCACTTCTGGGCCGACGGATTTTATCATTTGGAATCGTTGTTGTTGTTGTTGTTGTTGTTGCTGCTGCTGCTACAGCAAATAGTTTATGCTTTACTGTTGTTCTATTTCTTATTGATGGTGAATTGTATATTTGATTTTTTTTTTTTTTCAAATATTTGGAATTTTTCGCAACTTGTATTTCAGTGACATGAATTTTTTCTTTTTCGAAGAATGACTCAAGTTCTTTTAGTTTTTTATGGTTTTTTTTTAATCAAAAGATGTTTTGTTATGCGTATCTACCAGCGATGAAAATGTTTTTGATATTGATTTGAAGAGACAGGAATTTTTGCACAAGAATTAGTCTGTCCACGAAATCTACAGTGAGTGGTTGTTGGCTTCATTAGAGAACTGAGTGACTGATTTCGGTCGCATCTGACTACTTTTTTCTGACTGTACAGTCCACAAATGTACGTCGTAGCAGACGGGTTATTTCTGTAACGAATATTTAAGATGTTGCAGCACTGGGACTGGGTCGGGTTGGCTATTGGAGTGATCAATGAGATTTTAATGGGGCATTTGGCTAGTAGTTGAAGGTGTCCAGATGGGGTGAACCATTGCGTGTCGTAGGTACTCTGAGAAGTGTAAATAAGTAGTGTAGCTTACTGGCGCTTCTATTTTTTAAAGGTTTCTGCGTATCGATGTAGTTGCTTTTTTTGTTTTCCGAGGCCTCATTTTTTTCCCATTCAAAGTTGCTTGGTTATTTGGATTGATCGTTTTTTTTTTTTTTTTAATATTTTTTTATTGTTAGTTTTGTAAATATTTAGAACTTTGATCTGGAAACTTATGTGAAATGTTTTTAGCATAGTGCGTAGGTGGAGCTGCATATTCCAAGCTGACAAGAACAGTTTTGATGAGATCCTGAGTTTTAAATAAATTCTTTCGAATTTTATATTATGGTTCACTAGTGCAATTTGACTAAATTTTTTTTGCTATGCTGTTTGAAGAGATCTTCATCGTTGTTATTTGTTGTTATTGTTATTGTTATTGTCACTGAATATTTCAGTCAGTGAGTGATTGGTTAAACTAGTTCTCTTTCTGTATGTACCGCTGAATTGTGAAATTGAAGTTTCATAATACGTATTGATGGATTGTAACAGATGAGAATGCACAGATTAGCAGCAGATCGGTTTATACTGCATTTATTGAATCGAGACAAATGAAGGTGATTTAATGTCGTGGGTATGGTTGTTTTCGTCCGGTTAAATTTAAGGTCTTTGCAGAAGAGTAACAACAATGTTGGGCAGAGTTTTATGTGGCATTAGTTTCGCACTAATGTTGAATACAGCTGTAGCAGGGGATTCGATAACTGACACAAAGGTAAGGTTTTTTCCTGTACATTGATTCATGGGCAGAATTTTGCATTATTCATTTATTTTTCTTGATGAAACTGTTCGTGATTTTTTACTTCTTTGGTGGATGCCTGTTATTGTTTCATGCGAAATTTTCAGAGTGGAGCCACCAGTTGCCCGCCAGGAGTTGGCTCAATAACGGGAGCTCTGGGCTCCAGTCTTGGTATAAATGGCATGGGACAAGTTTGTGGCAAAAACTCACCATTCCATTACTACGAGTGTTGTGGTACTGGTTATGCTGAGTGCTGCTTCCGATTGCAGGTTCGTTGATTTTTTCTTTTTATTTCTGTTGTTTTTGTGATAGATTTAGAAGATGATGGTCCTTTGTTTACTGCTCAATCACGATTGGAAATAAAGATACCAATAATATTTTTTTGCAATTGTAATTATTTATTTATTTATTTTTTATCAATAGACGTGGGTAATTGTGGCTTTGGCGATTTGTGCGGCTATTGTTCTGACTTCTATTGTGCTTTCCTTAGTACGATGTGTCTTCTGCAGACGCTAAGATGACTGGAATAATGGAGGTTTGCCGGTTATGCTCAGTTTTGAGAACAACGTTTGGTAACTCAGACTTCAAATTATTTTCACTGCTTTCGGTTTTGCCACTTTATTTTTGCATCCAAACTTATGTTCTCTAATTTTGTAATTTTCCGGCTCTTTTTTTTAAATCAGAATCTTCGTTCTCGGCTTTTTATAAGAAGATCTCCTAAATTAATGGAATATGAAAAGATTGAATGCGAATTTGTAATTATCAGCAGTTTTTTTCCCTCTTTTTATGACTTCGCCCTAACTGTTTCTTACGTAAGTGTTCTTGTTTGTGTGTTGTTTGAATGTAATTTGTGAAGTAATTGTTTCTTCTCTTCAGCATGTATTGTTGTTAAGCGTAACTAATAGCACTTGTTGTTTTGACTAAACAGTGGTTTTTATGGTTGTTTTTTTCTTTAATATCCTGTTTTATTGTGGTAATATTGTGCAAGAACTATTGTTAACTCGAGTACCTGTAAAGTCACCAGTTTTTTAGTATAGTGAAGGGGATTTCGGACATAGGTTAAGTTTTTAGCTTTATCATTTGGGATTGTCATTGCAGTAGTTCTTATTTGGACAGGCGGATTTTGTACAGCTCGATAGCTCAAAATTAGTTTTTTGCATTCCTGCTGTAGTTTCTCTCTCTTTTTAATTGGAAATAAATCATTTTTAAACGGTAGTCACTTGTAGTCTTCATGATAAAGCCTTTTTTTTGTTGAGAAATTTACGCCGCATGAGTTTTCTAGGTTGTTTAAAGTTTTTGAAGTGGACAAAATGTTCGTTTTTGTTACTTGAACTTTTGTGCGGGAGCTTGTCCATTGTTCCATGGAGGGATTCGCTAAGTGTCAGTCAGGCGTTCGTCTATGTATTGTGCAGAGAGTAAGGAGAAGGCGGCAGCCACGGGACTCGCTCGGCATGCAGAGGTAGGCGAAGCCTGCTAGGGGCCAAAAGGTCGATAAGATTCGGTGCGTCTGAGGTTTTGCTTACTTCGTCTGATCTGTATTTCGGGTTTTCTGGAGAGGAGAACTGGGGGTTTCTGTGCCTGTGATGTTTTTTAGGTCGTCGGGATCTTTATATTGTTATATTTGAATTTCCTCGCATCAGAATACAGAATAATCCTGCGACTTTGCGGTTACGTAATGTCTTACCTGTATCTGTCACTGAGTCTCTTCCTGATTCTACTTGTACAGGATTATCGTTTACTGCTTACGCTATATGTTTATCATCACAACAGATGGCTGTTTAAGGGTGAAGGTTTATTGGAAGAGTTCGCTGATGAAGATTCAAAAAGGAAATATTCAGGAAGAGAGGTGTTTAACAAGTACAGTGTAAACTTGTATTGATCGGTTTGAGAAATTATTTTATGTTGTTTAAGGGTAGCTTGAGTTCATTAATGATGTTGAAAGCCTTGTACTGGGACTAGCAACTCTAATTAATACCTGTCGGGCTTTTTCCTTAAAATTTTAATCTCGGAATATTTAATTCACAGTTGGCATTTTTTTAACATGAATTAATTTCTTAACTCAAAGGCTAGCAACAGCACTTCAAAATATTTTGAATTTCTGGAGACAGCATACAGATATTTATTTTGGATGCAGAAATATTTTAAAGGTGTTTTTGTGACGAAAACGAGTGAATTTAGAGAGACTTGGACACAACTATACAGAAGACAACCAACTGATACAGCAAATACGTTACGCGAAAAAATTTTTTTGCGCAAAAGTTAGCTCAAGATCTAAGAAAATAGGCGCTTTTTTTTTTTGCGGAACCAATACTTGTTTCGAATTAGGTTTGTTCAGGAAGGGTAGTTTTTTAGGGAAGAATGGGATGCTTTTGTCGTATTTCCTAAGTAACGTGTACAGCGTTACTCAACCATTTTGGTTAACAATGCATTTCAAGGTTTGAATGTAAATAAAAGCAGAATGTAGATTTAGAAGTGCGGGGGAAATTTTTCTATTTTTAAAGAAGACACTGAGGTAATTCTTGTCATGAACTCTGTTCAAAAGGTACATATTGGTGTAGAGGTTTTGAATGTGACAGCAACCGTCATAAATTTCTCTAAATTTTCCTTAAGACAGAAAGAAGCAAGCCTAACTTTGAACGGATTCTCTGCTTATCAGAAGTATGACTTCTTGCCATTATTCAGTTGTGCAGAAAGTCACTGTTAAATTTTTCTTTTTGCGTAGTTGACAACTCTCTCAGGTGGTCTTACCTCTCAAAAAAGGACATTCAATACGCTGCAAAATAACCGTTATGGAATCGAAGGACGGTGGAGGCTGAGAACTGCACTGCAATGTGTTGGGGCGTGTTGAGGTGTCCTCTCTGCGGGTTAAACTCTAACTTCTCATTTGATTTTAAAAGTAGTGGAGGAAAAAACCTACCGTTACGGAACATCTACACAAATCGAAATGAATGGAACGGCCTTTCAAGACTTCAAAGATAACTGTTAGCTAATGAGCATCAGTCGGTCTTTAAATGTAGAAGAGAAAAAAGCTATATAATTTAAAAAAACCGCAGTTGAATCTCTGTGGGATTCGCTACGCGGCAGTGGTTGACAATGTTGGCTACTGTGTAACGTTCTCCAAGAAACGCCTCTTTAATGTTTTTTTTTCCTTCCATAAAACCAGCAAGGTCAGCTCATAGTTTTAGTTACTGGACTGTAAGCAGTGAGTTATTACTCTTAAGTGTGAGCTGCGGGAGCGCTATTCACTGCCTTGTAGTTGAACTTGTTTTGAGAATCACAGGCTCAGATTACTGCACTCTCTCCCTTCATTGAGAATTGGCATACAGTTGCAGTATCAGCCCTGCTAGTACTCATCGCGGTTTACGTTGGCTTTCACCTGCACGATTTTGACCGTAAAGGAAGTTGCCAGTCATTTTCATTCAGACTACGGAGCAGGCCGACATCGACAAGCTCTATGATCAAAACTACTTATAAACGTGCGTGGCCGTTGATGTTGTCTGCAGTTCACTTTGGAACCGTTTGAGTTTTGTTAAATGAAGCATTTTCTACCCCTTTGCATTGCGGACGTTTTGATGGATACTGCACTGCAAATCAAGGCATTGGTAGCTATCGAGAAGGTACTGAATACCCGCCTCGACTGCAGCGTGACCACAACAGTCTCCTGTGAATCAATTTTGCCATGGTGTTCAGTTTTCACACTTCCTGCACTTATACTGAGTAAAGGTTCCCTTTTGAAACAGACTTTTATAAGAAAATATTCTTTCTCTTCGCTTCTGATAGGAGTAGCTCCTTCGGAACAAAAATTTCTTTGCGTAACGTTTTTTGCGGAGATTTGGCTTTATGAAGAAATAAAGATCAAAAGATCGAAGATCAATCAAAGCGACAAGATTTTTTTGTAGATCACACCGTTTTAACTAAGCACAGCAGCTTAGTATGGGTTTAACAAAGCAAGGAAGCAGAAATCTGGTTGAAGAAAAAAAAAGGACTAAAACATTTGGGACTGCGCGAAGAGGGAAACTGTGAATTGCCAGCTACATCTTCAACACAGATTGCAGTATACTGTTATGGAGCTAATAAATTACAAAACTTTTATCTTTGAGATTTTGTGGCTCGTGGAGTCAATATTCATTGTAATTTTAGTGATTTGCCATATCAGTTTCTTGAATTCCAGTAAATTATATTAGGATCCAAAGTTTTAAAAAAATTGAGGTTCAGGAAACTGAGTTTTGACTGTGACTTTAATAATATCGGTAGTCTAGCAGGAGGTGTGTGTTTAATGAGGAAGGCAGCAAACTGGCAAACAAAAATATACCTTTTTGTGGTGGGCCGGTATATGCGCAAATTAGGAATATTTGTCGTTTCAGACTGGTATCTGCTGCTTATTTTAGTCTGGAGTACATGTCATTAATTTGGGCTTCAAAGTATGCTTTTAGTTGTGGTCGCTTGTTCTTCATTGTTGGAGTCAGCAGATCATCCTCCAAAGTAAAAGCATTTGGAGTAATGAAAATATCGCGCACCTGCAAATACCATCAGTAGCTGATGGGACAAAATGACAGAGGCTTTAATTAGTATTGGTTGGATTATTGCTGCTGTACCTGTTCAAATGAGTAAAGACCTGCTTTTTTACCGACGTCAGTTAGAATTTCTAGAAGAGCCTCTTTGACCGATGGTTCTGAACATAGTTGTTCATATGAGAGCCCATCCAGATTCAAATTGGAAGCTAATTTTTCAAGACTCTAAAAAAATTCATAAAGTAAATTAACTTTGTAATGAAGTTTTTAAGTGTGATCTAAAGCTTGATCTTCATCATAAACTAATAGGATTTCAAAGTAGCAGGTAATTTTGACACATATTTTCTACAGCAGATCTTGTAAAATGCCATTAAAATACACAGTTATAGATTCTTTAGCAAAATAATGGTGGAAAGGAAAGCTTAATTACGTGCAAAAAAAAAAACAGTTGAAAACATTTAAACCTCTTTTTCAGGTACTATAATGCCGACCAGACATGTTTTTAACCCTTCTCCGTAGACAAATGACTGAGCAACAAATTCACTTTTTGCGTAAGTACTTTCAATTTTTTCCGGTGCTACATATTCGCCCTATACAAAAGTGTAAATTAAAAATATTTATTTACTTTTGTTCACTTTTTAATAAACTTTGCATTAAAATATGGTTTAATAGCGTTAATTGAATCATTCATATAGTCCAACTAGTAATATTCGACTACCTCAGAGAAGTACTACAAATGCATGTACAGTGTACAGTTAGTTGTACTAGTCGCAGATCTTTTGAGTTTACTCCAAAAGTTCAAGAACCGAACCTGTTGAAGCTTAAAAATATTTTTCTTCCGATCAATGATTTTTAAGCACCCAGTCTCAGTCCATCGACCAATGTCACCCGAATGTAACCAGCCATCTTTGTCGAGAGTCTCTTTTGTCTGTTCCTCATTTTTGTAATATCCTTTGAAAACGTTGTATCCTCGAAGGCATACTTCGCCAACCTAAAATTGTGATAATATTCAAAGTTGGCAGTTTTACTCGCTAAATATCTTACAACAGCTAGTCAATTGTTATGCGAGCAGCTTCTCGTGCTGCACATATGAGAAACTAACTCCTTGGTCAACGTAATAATTTAGTTCAGGGGCATCTATTAGCTTTATAGCACAGCAGTGCATCGGAACTCCAGCGTGTCCAGTGGTACTGCAGTCCTGTTCTTTTGTAGTTGTACTCGCTGCAGCGCATTCTGTTTGACCTTAATAATTATGTATTGTAAGTATATCGGCGAAACAATAGGTTCAGCATAAACGTGTATAGAAGATACAATCAGATAAATTCAGTTGATTTTTTAGAAAATTTGAAAATCAGGACTAGTGTTAGTCCAATTAACAAGAGACATCTTTTTATTCGCTTCTCTCTTTCATGGGTAAACTTCTGGGAAAATTTCTCACAAAATTTTCCGCAGGTGGGGCGACTATGTAGAAGTAAGGAAAAGCGCTTAGAGAGTAGGATAAATAAGCTTTTAAAATGGTTTGTACTTGATTTTACATTAGGATTTTGAAAAACCCACTTTTTTCAAAACCTCTGATTTTTAGATATTACTTACCCCAACCAGTTGGTTGAAAAAGTTGAGTACTAATCACTTTACTTTAATTTTCCCTTACAGAGAGATAACGGCTTATAAATAAGCTTTGCTTGTCGTACTAAAAACCTGGACTCAAAGCCCGTTTTGAATAGATTGGTTAAAGGACTTGAACTTTTTACCGCTGGAACACAGCGGACAAAAGAAAGTAATAACAGTTAGTAACTACCCTAAGTTAGTGTTTGACGGGTAAGCGAAATAATTAATCTTACAGAATGGCCGAAACAGCTTTCTCTTCTAGATTTTGACAACATAAAAACTATATCTCTTCAATTTGCTACTGCACATATACCAACAAACATAACTTGAAGTATATGGTAAAAAGAACGGGGCACAGACAGCAGAGGAATGGGGAATTGTTTAAAATGAGGGAGAAAGAAAATAAGCAGAAAAAATCTTTGATAGAAATTAACTCTGCTTAAAGCTGATAATGAAACTTTCCCACTTACCATAACCTTCTAAGACTGTGACGCCAAACACTGCCCGAGCGAAGGTCATTACATCTCCGGTCACTGGCGCTGAACCAACTAGCATCATTCTGACTCTTCCGCCCAGGAGGTCACGAACTCTTTTAAAAACGCCATCGACAATCGTATCTTTCCGTATGATTCCCCTAAGAAGTGGGGAAATGATACAATTTTTGGTTATCAAATGACAAGATACACGGCTTTAAAAGCTGATGATAAGGGAAATGTGGTAGGACGCATGCAACATTTTGCTCCAATTTTTATGAAGAAACAACATTCAGCGCCTAACAGTAACAGAGAATGCGACCAAAATTTTTTGCTAGCTTACCTATTTAGTAAATGCTTCTTGTAAGCCAAAGCCATAGAAAAAATAGCATGATTGATGGGATTTTTTTTTGCTTCGGAGATTACCTAAATTTCAGTCGTTCTGTATCAATCTAAAACAGTTCTTAAAAAAAATTTTTTTTTTGTGTCTTGGAAGTGTTTATGCATAGAAAGTGATTTCTTCAAGGAATAGTTCACAGATCTAGCTTTACCAATTGTTAAAACTAGAAACAGGTTTTCTAATAAGACGAACTTTGTCATAAATTCTGTTTAGAACTCTTGGAACTAGTGAAAACAGTGTAGGTCTTAACGTAGTCATATCGTCAACTAGACTTCGGATATCGCCACTATAGAAACCTATTGCACTTCCAACTTCATATAAGGCACATTCTAAGATCTGCTCATACATGTGCGCTAGTGGTAGGTAACTGATATATACGTCCTGAAATAATTACATTTTTAAATAAAAAATTAAGTTTTTATTCTGTGAATGACAATTTTAAAATTAATTTACAAGACATTAATTGATTTCTGGTTTGTCGGACAGGCCGTAGAACTTTAATATGCTGTCTTAATAAAGCACAACAAACAAGGTTTTTCAGAACTGTTAACCACTTCAAGTAAATTTTTTGATGCAGTAAGCGCGCAAACTTGTTCTTGTATCTCGATAGATGAGGCAGCTGAAATCTCTCTGCGCTTTCTTTTATATTCTGATTTATTATCGCTCAGTATTTAACTGTTTAGTTGACAGCAGGAGACCATAGAAAGTAGGAAGCAATTATGAGTTGGCAAGGGTTCTTTAAATTATTTACTCTCATGACTCCTTATCTATACTTTTCTTTAATATCAAGGGTAAATGAAAGTAAAAGAAAGTGGGCATTAAGAGGTGATATTCTTTAATATAGCAGAGAAGAGACAGAGAAAAATTTTTTGCATAAGGTAAACTGGTTGAGCCAGGGGAGCTAACAGTAAATGTCAGAGCACGCAGCAGGTCAGTACGGACAGAGGCAAAATTCTGTGACCTATCTGAGTTTTTGCAATAAAGTTTTCATCAATTTTTGTATGAAGGAAGAGCCGTCTTTTTCTGAAATTGCTAATGATAAACGAAAGAAGTTTTAACAAACATCTTCCTTTGCTGGATGTTCCATTAAAGAGTAATGACACGTAGTGGCTGCAATTACATTCTTGTGAGTCAACATTACACCCTTTGGCTGTCCTGTTGTTCCTGAGGTGTAGCATATAATGGACAGTTTGTCTGGTTCTGGTTCCTAAATACAAGTTAATAACAGCATGTCTGCAACCATTTGTTAAACTAATAATTAGATGATCAATGAGGTAAAATTACGGAATTATCTCGAAAATACATCCTGGTGCTGTTTTTTGCCTTTCATACTGAAATATTTAATTTAAAACAGTACATGAAGTTGTAGATTGCCTGACTCTGAATGGCCTATTTTTAGTAGTTCGTTGAAAGCATAAACTTTAATGCCACTTTCTTCAGCCTTAGAAACCAGATCTTCGTTGTATGGTTCCATTACAACAACATATTTTATCTTTGGACAGTTCACCTTTTGTCCGACAATTTCTGAAAATCAGTGTATCAATAAATAATTCTAAAGTGTATTTGCTAATGATTGTTGCAAAAGTAGTTAAAAAAATATTTTACAGAATTTTTTATCGACAGACCTGTAGCTTTTACTGCTGTATCACATATTACAATTTCCGCTTCAACCTGATTTAACGAAAATGTTTGTGCTTGTTTTCCCAGAGTGTCATATAGCGGGACCAAAACAGCTCCAAAGCGAAAAGTTGCCAGTTCACTGATTACCCACTGAAAATCTTTTCTGTATTTTAACTGCATAAAAGCCAGTTTGTAAAGTCACTTTGTTCATCTTCTTAATTTTGGCAGTAGCTAACCTCTGGTCGATTTTTAGAACTAATAGCAATGAACGTTTCTTGACCCAGTTTTAATCCAATATGACCAAACGAATATGCTAAGCTGTCTGCAGCATCAATTACCTAAATAAAGATCCAAATTTTATTTGAAAATTATTTTTAAAGTGTTCAATGAAAGAAAAAATTTTCCTTCTCTGTGCTACCTCTTGGTAACTCATCCACACATATGGTCTGCTGCCATCGCTTTGACGTTTACGATGTCCAAGCATTGGACCATTTTTGGAGACCCGTCGACCTCTGAGCACAGCATGATAAATTGTTTGAGCGTCTTCAAATGGATAAGGCACTAGCTCGCTGATACAACCACAAATACGTGAACCATCCTGAAGAAGACACTAATTAACAAACGAATGTCTTGTAGTAT